ATGTTGCCCGAAGTTCATAGTCATGTCGCCCGAAATCCTAAGTCATGTCACCCGAAATTTTATCGACTGTTTAAGCTTGAAGAAAAGTAACATCTTAAGTAGATGGCAAGGAATAAACTCGTAAAATGCTGACTCGTGAAACTCAGGTTGTTCGTTTCGCTGTCGTTTGATATCACAGAGATGGTAATCCGAAAATAAAACACGAAAATGAAAAAAAAATAGTAATATCAGTTACAGTATGGTTCTCACTGTTGTTGTTTTGTATGTGGAAGCATTATGTTTAGAACGAAGGTTCACATCACTACGATTGGAACATTGGAAAACGTCGCCATCCTAAATACAACACGCTCAAGAATCATCACATGTACATGGTCAGTGCCAAGCAAGATTGTGACGTTGCGGCAAACTCAAACTAAGAGAACTTGATGTATTTTTCTGATATGTGCGAAAAATTCTGGTAATTGAAAGTGTTTCGCTTATAATTACAGGAATCGGTGCTGTAGAATGATCAGTTTAGTTCATAGCAACGAACAACGCTGAAATGAACAGCGATATGCGAGTCTTTCTTTAACTTCTTATTTGTATAGCGGGTTAGCGGACGAAAACATTTTAAGTCGGAATGAGTTGGCTGTTATTAATTTACTCTCTTTATACATGGTAAACCGGATCGAAATTTACATTCGACCGGCTAGGGAAACAAGGAACGACTGAACAAGTCGCGATAGTTTATGCCGCGTCTGATCCTAAGGGGAATGATGCTAACACGCTTTGTTCGCGTGGTTAACAACAAACAACAAAAAACCACTGTAAAAGTTTCAGGTTGTTTTTAATACGATAAATCAAATTAAGAGAACTTGATGTATTTTTGTGATCTGTGTTAAAAATTCCGATAACTGAAAGTGTTCCGCTTATAATTACTAGAATCTGTGTTGTAGAATGATCAGTTTAGTTCATAGCAACGAACAACGCTGAACTGATGAACAGCCATATATTTGAGTCTTTCTTTAACTTGTTATTTGCATAGGTTAGGGGACGAAAACATTTTACGAGTCAATATTTTACGAGTTTATTCCTTGTAATTTACCTAAGATATTACTTTTCTTTACTGAAAAGTTTACTGACAGCGTTCCGCTTATAATTACTAGAATCTGTACTGTAGAATGGGCAGTTTAGTTCAGAGCAACGAACAACGCTGAAATGAACAGCGGTATTTCAGTCTCTTGTAGGTTAGCGGACCAAAACAGTTTACGAGTCAACATTTTACGAGTTTATTCCTCACGATTTACTTAAGAGGTTACTTTTCTTTAAGTTTAAACACTCCCGATAAAAGTTCCGGCGACGTGACTCAAAATATCGGGCAACATGACTATGAGTTTCGGGCAACATGACTCTGGTTCCGGGCAACATGACTTCGGGTGAGAAGACTTTCGGGCGACTTGACCAGTTACCGTGCCAGATCTCGCGCGGTCAAAACTCGTACTCGTACTCGTTCCTGTACTCGATTCTAAAGCGGTTGTGACTCAATGGATACTCTAAAATTAGGCTTTCGAGTAAGGACTGGAACCATTATCTCTCTATTGTTAAATCGTCTGATAACAGGAAAGAAAGTGATGGCAAAGCAAGCCCAAAACAGCAGAAATCGCCAAAAAACACATCAGACACACAAGTAATGAGTAAGTTTTATTAATTTGAAGTGTAAAATGTTCATATTTCGGAATATTTAGTGTTTTAAATGGACCATATTCATCTAATTCATCTAATTCAACTAATTCATTTTATATTTATTTATTTTCTCGGAGGTATTAGCATGTTATTTTTTCTATTTTAAATTCGAGATGAAATAAAGGCTTGTTGTTGTTGTTGTTCCCTATACTATTCCTTATAACGCATTCAACGGTTGCTCGCGTAACTTAACACCGCGTCACACAACGCGTGACGCTTTCATTAAATAATCCTTCGCTTT